TGTCTGTCTAGGCTTGGGCGATCTGGCAGTATCCCAGCCCTCGTGCCTCCTTTGTGTGGCATGACAGCTAGGCAACGAAAGGGTTAGCTAGACGAGCCTCCTTTGTGTGGCATGACAGCTAGGCAACGAAAGGGTTCTACAGCTAGACGATTTTTTTCAGTTATTCGGCTCTTGGTTAAGCCAGCACCTTTGATCAAAACTTGTAGCTTTATAACGTCAACTGTTTATCTAGTTCGGAGGGTATTTTTCGCGAGTCCAGCCCGTTTCTGCAGTGCGGACTGATCCTGTCTAAATCTGGATGATCTTGGTCTTCATTCGTCCATTTTTACCACGCATCAAAAAGATGCAATTCCCAGAGGATTTTGTAATTTTGCGCGTCCTGTCACCAGGGTGTTGGTTTTAGTCTCAAAAACTTTCATCCTGATTGTTCTAGTTTCTTATGAACTTTTCATGGAAAGTGATAACGTTTACCTGGTAGCATCGGAAGCGGTATTCCGTCGAGTGCATGGTGATGGTGCTTTTTGGCCCTCATTGTCGCTCCTCAGTTTGCTAACCAAATTATTTCAGCTGATTTCACTCCTTTCTCTCTTGAAACACTGGGTTATGCCAAAAAATTTCAGAATATGTTGGAGGCAGTTGCCACACCAACGACTACCGTGCTGTTCCCGTTATTGACTTTCAAACGTTCGTACACTCGTGATTTTCCGTCAAGGCCTTTTAGCCTACACTCAGTCGCACCAAAACGGCTGTCTCGTATTGCTCCAGGGCTGTCTAATTTATCCGCGTAGCGATTGGCTGCCCCGCTTTTCAGCTTATGTGAAGGCTGTCTGGGTCGTGCTACGGCCTTGTTTACCATCGCGTATCACGTGTTTTTTGCCTGTTACGCGGCATCGTCCGCAGGCGCGATCTACCATAGGTTGCTGACGTCACTGCTGACAGTGAGATAGAACATTTTTAAATATCTCGGTCGTCTTCCGGTTTGGCATACCTTTTTATGAGCATATGATTCCAACAAATTATACGGAAGTCCAGGCTATCCTGTTACAACAAAACACGACTTTATTGGTGCTCTATGGTTGTCTCTGATAGGTACAGTCCGAACTACGTTATATTTAAATTTTAAAATTACTGTTTATGATGGTCACCAAAGTGAAGGAGCGAAATTTGGTTTAGGGCGATATACTCAGCTTGCAGTCTATCGGTTATCCGTCCAGGGAAGGTGGCTAAGTCCCGACTCCAAATCAACAGTTGT